TTAACCAACTGGCAATTACGCTGTAGTTAGCTCAAGCGGGGACACCTATACGCTAAGCAACCCGTTCTACAAGGTTTGAAACAAAGTTTATGTGAAATCAACATAGTAAGGTAATCAACTGGCGAATTGGCGCTGTTTGTTACTTCCGTTGGTCATCACCTCTATGCTCATCGTAATATTTACCTAAGAGGGTGCAACCTGTATATATCTACAATAGAATCAAATCAACATCAACTCCTTAGTTAACCAACTGGCGAATTGGCGCTGTTCGTTAACTTCATTGGTCATCAACCTAAATAAGAATATAAACATCAACACAATAGTTAATCAACTGGCGAATTGACGCTGTTCGTTAACTCCGTTTCTCATCAACCTAAACAAAATATATATTAATAGTAAATGATGGTCTGCGTTTGAACGGGACTCAAGTGAGATCTCAGTAAATAGTAACAATTGTAATATACTTTGCTAATTATTGCATCACATTTAAAGTATGGAAAATAAAAAGAGTTTAAATATAAATTTGTATGTTTTATTTATCAATTTGCATCAAACTTTGCATCGAATCCTGGTTTGCCTTAATTAACATTATCACAACGTGGGTACATAAAATATCAATTAATTAACTAGACGATCACTTCTACTACTAGAGGAAAAAGGCTAAGTAAAGAATTTAAAGTAAAGTAAAAGTTGTGAGGTAAATAAATAATAACAATTTCACAAAGTAAAAGAACAAATCAAAAAGAAAAGGGGGCCCGGGGGGTGGCCGTCACAATACAGACAAACACACACACACGCACGCACGCACCCACACACACACACACACACGAACACACACACAAACACACACACAAACACACACACACAAACACACACACAAACACACACACATACACACACATACACATACACATACATACATACATACTGTAACGGTTTGGCTCTACGGACGAGACAGTGCCAGGGTTTGCCACAACAGTACGAGACAACGAACCGTCAAGGTGACAGGAAACCCAACCTACAATCGGGCAGGCTGACAGAAACGGGGAGAAAGTGTGAAGAATGATCGAGAACGGTCATGGAAGCGGTTACCATAGATTGTTGATGATAGGACTGTCAATTGGGAGTGGAAGATAGAAAGCCGGTCAGCGCGTGGCGGATCAACGTTTCAATTGTAAATAGTAATAATTGTAAATAGTTTACGCGTTCGAATAGTTATTTTTTGTATTTTAATTAAATAAATAGTTTCAACTCACACTCGTGTTACAATTGGTGTCAGGTGTGGGGTCCTGAAGAAAGAAGATGTCTAAGAAGTTAAATCAGTTGCTGGTTGCAGAGCTCAGAAGAGAGCTAGAAGAACTTGAGCTAGACACGACGGGACCCAAGACGGTGTTGGTAGCACGTTTGAGGGAGTACTACGAAAGTCGAGGTGACGATCCTGATGCCATAGAATTTGAAGATCCCTCCCTGAAGACTGTGAAGTCCTTTGCCGAGCTTGCCGAAAAGATGACCAACCTGTCTACGGAGATGTCCCTTCAGCGAGATGAGCTTGCAGAAAAGATGGTTAACCTGTCTACGGGGGTTAATGAAGAAGTTTCTAAACTCTCCACCGAGATCTCCGATCAGCGAAATGAGCTTGCTGAAAAGATGACCAGCCTGTCCTCCGAAATGTCCAACCTCTCCCGGGCCATCGCTAACCAGGCAGCAGAACTGCGAGCAGAAATTTCCCAACAGGAAGAAAGAATAACCGGTGTGATCGCTCAGCAGGAGGAAAGAATATCCGGCGTCGAAGAAGAGATCCAGAAATTACAAGATTTCCTGTCCAATCCGCCACCTCCTGGAAGCAGAGAAGAGGAACCCAACCCCGT